GTCTGCCGGGGAAAACAGCCTCCCCCGCATGCAGGCAGGGCGCATCCCTGCCGGGGTGGTGTGGGCAGCAATCTTGCGCAGGACAGGGGAGGGAGCTGGGTCTCCCTGGGGACATGCAGGCACCCGCAGTCACGGGGATGCCCCGGCGAGCCCCACTCTGGCTGCACCCCGCAGCTCCCAGGCAGTGGGAGGCAGCCAGGGATGGCCCGGCGGTGGCAAACCAGCGGGACGGAACAGGCATATGTGGCCAGGCCGGCTCAGGGCCTTCAGCGGCCAGTGGGCAGAGGAGCTGGCACAGAGCCCGGTGCCTCCCGGGGCAGCACGGCTCGGCCGGGCCACGCTCCCTGTGCAGGCTGGCGGCTGCAGCCCAGGATAGAGCCAGGCACCCGCATGCCAGCCGCTGCCCAGAGAAGGACCACAGGGACGGCAGATGTTGCCACGGGGATGGTGGGCAGGGGACCAGGACAAGGCCCTGCCCATCGCAGCCACGTCTGGAGCAGCCCCAAAGGCCAGGGAGAGGAGGGAGGGGGTGCACAGGGACCACCTTCCGTTTAGGACCCCCTATCAGGGAAAAGCCCGCTCCAGGCACGGACCCAATGCTCTGCCAAGAACGAGACCCCCCCAATAAATCCATCCCCGGCTCCCAGCAGAGCAGGGAGGCCAGATGCCGCGGCCCCACTGGGACTCACCATGGCCACGAAGTGCAGCAGGTCCATGCCCGGCTCGTTGGCCTTGGTGTCAGGCAGCTTCAGCAGCGAGGCGAGGCGGAAGCCAGCGGCGCTGCCAGCGTAGCCGCCCTGGGAGCAGAGCCAGGGAGTCGCTGCGGCCCTGCTGTGCCAGGGGGAGCAGGGGGCAGGCAGCAGGCCCCCTGTGCCAGGGACTCACCGAGTTCAGGTGGTTGCCGGCGCTCAGGATGAGGTGGAGGATGGTGTGCAGCTCCTCGCATTCCAGCAGCTCTGGGGAGTGGCAGAGGGGTGAGTGGGGGCAGGGACGGTGCCCCCCCACCCCGCGGTCCTGGCGCACCCCGCAGTGCCGCTCACCGATGGCGGCATCCGTCAGGGTCTGGATGGAGCTGCGCAGGGCGCTGAGCCGGGGGAAGAAGTCCTCCTTCAGCACCAGCAGCTCCAGGCGCTGGGCGTAGCTGGAGGTGAGCGCAGGGTGAGTGGGTGGGGGCACGGGACTCCCTGGTGCACAGGACCCCCCCAGTGCATGGGACCCTCCAGCTCCCACCTGGGCACCTCCGTCAGCAGCAGCATGAAGAGCTCGGGGTCGGCGAGCTGGCGGGGGCTGCTGCGGAAGGAGCGCAGCCGGGCCACCTGCAGGCAGAGAGGGGTGTCAGGGGGGGCTGCCGGGGCGCCCCCCCACCCCAGCTCTCACCTCTGCAGCACAGGGCAGCATCCGGGAGAGCTCCAGCAGCTTCTCTGCCCCGTAGGGTGCCCCAACGCCCTCCTGGATGTCCCGCACGATCTGGCGGACAGGCCTGGGGGGACACATCAGACATGGGTGACCCACTGGCCTGGCCACGTGGGCAGTGCTCTGCCCCCCGATGGCCAACAGACACCCCCCCCAACCCCTCCCGGGGGGGCAGACACCCACTTGACCCTCTGCAGCAGGTACAGTGGGGGGCGGGGACCCCCCCACACATCCGAGCCTGGGTGTGCAGGGCAGCAGGAGCCCCTATTCCCCACCTGTGTGCAGGACCCCGGCAGGGAGCAGGTACCCGCAATGTCCCACACGCCGGGACCCCTGGGGACAGGTCTCATTCTGCCCCGCCATGGGCTGGAGCCGGGGGGGACACATGGGTGTCTCCCCTCCACCCCTCCGTGTGTGGGACCCGGGGTGTCAGTCCCCTGGGGGGTGCAGGTTGCCGGGGTGGGGAGTGTCTCCCTGGGGGGGTGG